CCCGCCCCGCCCCATTGCCATCCCTACAAGCAGGAAAATGATTCAGCTTGGAAACAACCTTTCTATCTTCCCAGGGTTAAGGTAAGGTCTGCGTACTTACTACCACCCCAAACTCCACTCATGAAATTTCACTAGATTGTTATTGTTATTGTTCCTAACCTTATTTTTCTATCCCTTTATCCCTCATGTGAGAACCAGTTAATTACATCAGAAAGAGAGCGGAAAAGACCAAATATACCATTGTATTATGAGAAAAGATTTAAATATACCTCTCGTTATAATTTGGGTCCAACTATACCCCTGCTATAATACTATAGGTTCAAATATAACCCTCTTCCGTTAAGTTTGACAAAGGTGGACATCCAATCCTACGTGGCATTGACATTTGAAGAGGTAGATGCCACGTGGCATGCCACCTCAGCGCCCGTAACCCATTTTACCCCTTCACTCTATTTGTTTTACCACCACTAAAATTTTCTTCCCCTCTATGAGAATATTGAATTTTCTTTTACTGCTAATTTATTTTTCGGAGTAAATGAGAAGTTGGGTTGATTGAGGGACAAAAATGTGAAAAAGAAGACATTGAGGCAACGAACCTTGGCACAGGGCTGGACACAGTCGCGGAGGCAGGATCTCCACGAAGGGAATTCAAAAAAAAAAATTTGTAGCTAGTGGGAATTGAACCCATGACCTTATGTAAATTTTAAACCCCCTTGACCACTAAACTACATTTTTGGATTGTGTTAAGAGTGTTCAAAACTTAATATATAGAGATAAAAAACAGATTTTGCCTTATATATACAGTGTAATTTTTCGGCGAAGGGTGTTCGGTGAACACCCTTGCACCCCCTAAATCCGCCCCTGGCTGGACAGACTAATTCGTCTAACAAAGGCAGTTCTAAGCACAATAATGAGTCTACTTGATGTTGTTCACCTATGGATTTTTCACCATATCAGGATACAAATTCTTCAACATCTGTTGGTTGGGGCTACTGAAACAAAGGAGGATGTGGTTGCTTCCAAAGAAGCACCTGTTTTCAATGAGTCTGACAAGAAATGTGGAGAAGGAAATGAGAAAGTTTCTGGGTCTGATTCTGGAAAAGACTTGATCCTAAAATTTGCCAGATTGAATCCAATGCGCGATGAGTGGAGAAACAAACATATATAAAAGACTAAACTCTGAAATACAATATTATTCATGGTGACAATTGTAGTGGAGGGAAAAGAAATTTTAATGGTGGAAAAAAAATATAGAAGGGAGGGGTAAAATAGGTTAGGAGTACTGAGGTGGCATGCCACATGACATCCAACATCAAATGTCAATGCCACGTAAGATTGGTTGTTCACATTGGACAAACTTAACGGAAAAAGGGTATATTTGAACCAACAGTATAACGGTAAGGGTATATTTGGACCCAAAGTATAACGAGAGGTATATTTAAACCTTTTCTCATTGTACAGGGATATATTTGGCCCTTTTCCGAAGCAAGAAATTATGTAATATGAGGGATTCACAGTTAATCTTCAAAGGAATTTATTAAAANAATTATAGAGATAAATCAGCCAGGTCAAACGATCTTGAAACAGCTAAGCACCAAGAATCCACCTTCTTCTTCCTCAATTCTTCTTCTAACACGGGTTTGAATGTAGTCGCTTTCTTCATCTTTTCCCCTGAAGAAAATATCTCATCCTGCGTATAGACTCCAACTGCTAATCCAGCAGCATAGGCTGCCCCAAGAGCTGTTGTTTCTATATCAGCTGGTCTTACAACCGGACTACCCAACAAGTCAGCCTACATTATGTAAAATACAAAATTAATCCATTGCTTCCAAAGGAATCAGCTGTTGCTTTAACATGTACAGCAGGGGCAACATACTGAAACAAATCAGTAAATCTTTCTGATTTGGATACGAGATTCTAGATGAATGAAATACAAAGATAGAAGACAAACCAAAGAAGGTATCCAATTACTAAAGTCTAAAAGGGTTGTAATAATGAGCAGTTTAATGAACTCTCTCGACACTTATGCCTTCTAGATGCATGGAGACCTCGGTATTGTACCCAAACACAGAGGAACAACCAATAGACAGAGAATCACATTATCCAGTTAGTATACGCGATGAAGGAAATAATGTACTCATCCTAATCTAAACCCTTTATCCAGTCTAAAATTTCCAGCGAAAATTTAGACTACAAAACCCTGTATTCTACTACAAAATAAACCCTGTATTCTACTACACCCTGATAAATAATGTACTTATCCAATCTAAACCCTGTATTCTACTATAAAAGCCATTTCCAATGTCTCTTGATGTTTATAAAGAAACTGGATACCCTGCTACTCCAGTTTCACATTTGAATAAGCCAAAAACATTTTGTGAGAAAAAGCATGTAAAGGGGCTGCAGAAGCAGAATAAATCAAGAAAGAAGGAATAGTATTCAGCTTGAATGGAAAGGGAGGGATGGAATCAAACCTGAATTTGCATCAAAAGGTTGTTGACTGTAGCGCCACCATCTACACGGAGTAAGAATTCCGTCCCTTCAGTCTTACCATCACTTTTCTGTGCAGCATCCTTGTGCATGGAATCAAGCACATCTTTTACCTGAAAGCACATGCTTTCAAGTACAGCCCGAGCAATGTGAGACTTGTTGGTAAATCTAGTTATACCAACACAAATCCCCCGAGCGTCATCACGCCACCATGGAGCAAACAATCCATTAAATGCTGGAACGAAATACACTCCTCCGGTTGAGGTAACTTTTGATGCCAAATCCTCGATTTCGTTAGCGGAGCTGATAATGCCAAGACTGTCCCTAAGCCACTGAACAGCAGCACCAGCAATGGCAATGGAGCCTTCTAAAGCATAATTGACAGGTGCTTTTGGCCCCAGCTTGTAGGCTACTGTGCTTAGCAGCCCATGATTTGACTTAATCATCTCTTCACCTGTGTTCAGAAGAATGAAAGCTCCGGTTCCATAGGTGCTTTTGGCCTCACCTTTCCGGCAAGATTGACCAACCATTGCTGCATGTTGATCACCAAGACATCCCGCGATAGGGATTCCTGTGATTGGCCATCCTTTAGTAATGTTGCCAATAATCTCAGAATTGCTAATAATTTTTGGCAAAATATTCGCAGGAATTCCTAAGGTGTCAAGTGTGGATTTATCCCAGTCAAGGGTTTTAAGATTCATCAGCATAGTTCTCGATGCATTGGAGACATCAGTGACATGTAAACCGTTCTCCACACCTCCTGTAAGGTTCCAAATTAACCAGGTGTCTATAGTTCCAAACACGGCATCCCCTTTTTTAACAGCTTCACTCAACCCATCCACATTATCCAACAGCCACAAAAGCTTCAATGCACTGAAGTAAGTGCTTATAGGCAAACCACAACTCTCAACAAAATGAGTCCGTCCCCCTGGCAATTCTTTCTCCAATTTTCTGATAATACACAAATTATAGATAAAAAAGTCAACATTCATTGGATTTAGTAGTAAAGCACACAATTAGTTCAAACCTTAAGAATTGGAAAGAAAACTACAAACGATTGATCAACGAGAATGCAGACAACCGCGAAGACACATTGCCTAATCGACATACAAAAATAGAAGAATTAACCCTAATAGCTTAAACTAATCAATGTATATAATCTAAAAATAGCCGACTATGTGTATAACTGTGTATAATCAATGTATATAATCTATGTATACCGGTTAGAAAAAATAAACAGTGAATCTGGCCGGATATTTGTGTTAAAATCCCTAGAGAATATGACAACTCAGGCCTTAAACTATTACGCCATGCTTTACTCCAAGAAAATAAACATGAATCCATTAAGAATTTCGCCAGTACATCCCCTTTCAGAAGAAATACATTGCTTAAGAAAAGTATATGTGTGAATGTGTATAAAAGAGCAACTACTACACTCACTCCCAAACTAGTTAGGTTGGCTTTATGAAACTTCTGTCTTCTCAGCTCTATTTGGGTAAATTTTCATTACACTACTCAATAGTGTGTCTTTTAGTATAAATCTTTGACAGGACTAAAAGACTCTTAACCCGTTTGGCCAAGCTTCTAAAATTAACTTATTTTGAGTATTGCTTTTCTCAAAAGTAATTTTTAAAAAAGTGTTTTTGGTGAGAAGCAGTTTGTGTTTGGCTAATTAATTTGAAAAGTAGTTTTGAGCAGTAATTAGTGTTTGGCCAAGCTTTTAAAAACTGCTTCTAAGTATATTTTTCTCAAAAGTGCTTCTCAGAAAAGTGTTTTCGGAGAGAAGCTACTTTTTTTCGGCTTCTGCTTCTCCTCAAAAGCACTTTTTTTCCTTCCAAAATTTTGGCCAAACACCTCAATAAAAAGACTCCAACTTTGGGCCTAATGTAAGTGTACCAATAAAATTAACCTTAACCCAAACTAGTTGTTATCCCCTTTAATAAATACTCTGCATAAACAAATGTGCGTGCATTAAAGGGAAAAAACAGATACTGATTCTATCGGAAAAAGAAGTTCGATTTGGCTCCAAATCAAGAAACAGAAAAAAAAAAGTTGGAAATTGATAAAAGACCTGCAAATAGAACTCGTACGGACATCCATCCAAACAATGGCGTTGTAAAGAGGTAGCCCTGTGGATTTGCTCCACACAACAGTGGTCTCTCGCTGATTTGTAAGCCCAATAGCTTTGAGTCCACTATCCACGTTATGTCCATCAGCAGTAGCCTTATCAAGAGCCTTTGCCATACAGATCCTCACACTCTCTACAATCTCCATTGGGTCGTGTTCCACCCATCTACAATAACGAGAACAAAATACACAGTCAACGCGGATGCATGAAAATCCGGAAACCCAATTATCAATTTTGGAAAAAGATCAAATCTTTAATGCAAATAAAATTAAGCGATGATCAGTGATTAGTGAATTACTTACCCTGCTTGTGGGTAAAACTGAGTGAATTCAACCTG